TTAGTTGGATGCAATCTCATTTGTCCATTTTTGCTTTTCTTGCCTGTGCTTTTGGAGTTCTATTGAAGATATAACTCATCCCAATGCTTTGGAGATTTTCCCCTATGTTTTCTTCTATTGGCTTTACAGTTTGAGGTCTGTGTGTTTAAGTATTTTATGTATTTTGAGTTAATCTTTGTTTATACTGCAAGATAAGAGTCCAGTTTCATACTGCTGTATGTAGATATTCAGTTTTCCCAATACTATTTATTAAGAATACCATTCTTTCGCCATTGTATTTTCTTGGTACCTTTGTCCAAACATCAATTGACCATAAATATATGTGTTTATTTCTGGACTTTCTGTTCTGTTCCATTGGCTGATGTATTAATATCTGTTTTTATGCTGTTACTATGCTGTTTTGATTATAATAGCTTTGCAATATTTTGAAATCAAAGCATATAATGCCTTCAGCTTTGTCCTTTTTTGGTTAAGATTGTTTTGGTTAATTGAAATATTTTTTGGTTCCATATAAATTTTAGGATTCTTTTCCCTAATGACATTGCAATTTCCTTAGGAATTGCATTGATTGTGTAGATTGCTTTGGATAGGATAAACATTTTTAATAATATTTATTCCTCTAATCCATGAACATGGGATATCTTTTCATTTATTTGTGTTTTTTTCAATGTTTCATAGTTCTCCATTTACAGATCTTTGATTTCCCTGGTAAATTTACTTCTAAGCATTTTATTTTTTGATGCTATTGTAAATGGGGTTGTTTCCTCAATTTCTTTTTCAGATAGATTGTTCTCAAAGAAATTCTCATAATTTTTCATATATTGATTTTGTAACCTGTAATTTTATTGAATTTATCAGTTTTAACAATTTTTTGGTGTGTTACGTATATTTGATTGATGCCTTGAACCCATGAGACCATACTTTGCCTGAAACATACATATATTTTACTGTCCTGAGCATAAGCACTTGATCTTAAGTCAATTAATATTAGGTTAGTAGGTATATGAGTTGGCAGTTCAATTTCTGGCATCATACTCTAGAGTTTTTCCATTTTGTCATTTTTTGAATCTCTTGCTGTCAAGGGCAAAGACAAATCATGTTTTACCTGTTTCATGACTTACCTTTCATCTTCACAATTGTCATTGTTATCCATCATTTCATCTGTGTGCAAATGAAACAGTTCTCATATTCTCATAATTTTCAATTGTGATTATCTTTACCTTTTTTCCTTAATCATCATAATTCTACTTCTTTTTTTACAGGAAGTATCAACACTCCTACTGCTTCAGCACTTATCTGATATGTGATCAATAATATTCACATAATAACTAAACCAGTACCTGAGCAAACAGATCCCGTTTAATAACAGAAAGTATCCAACCCATAAATCCACTGACATCCTCGGTTTTGGTGGACAAAGTTAATTTGCTTTTAGAGTGGCTTTTTAGAAACCATGTCAATAACTTAAAAATTCTGAGGTTTTTTTCATTTCCTACCCTCATTGCAAGACACTTGTTAAAGGATTTCTTTCTATGAAAGTTGTAATGACTTTTTTCCCACTTTCATTAAACTAGTTAAGAAATATACCACACTTTGTTGGATTTAGGGAGTAAGGGTCTTGCTAACGAGTTACTTCCACTGTGTCATTACTTTTCCTTAGTACTGTAATTTATTAAATACTTTGGGGGCCACATCTACACAGGGTCTTCACTGTTGGGAGTCCTGGAGCTGTAGAACTTCGGAGATGTTTCCAAAATTCTCAGGACTTCAATACCCTTGCAAGCCTGTGTGATAAGGTAGTGAAAACACTTTTAAAGTGCTCGGCACACAACAGGGTTTCCACCAAAGCTAGCTCTTTGCCAATTCCCCGAAGTGCTTAACCGAACAGGGCAAGGTAACCATAGTAGTCCTTGGTGCTCGGGAAGCCCCCAGTATTCCACCTGCACGAGTTGAGGCCGAGAAATGTTCCTTTGGGTCAAAGGCAGCAGAGAGAAGCTCTGTGGGCTGTCGAGCAGCGGGAGAAAGCCCCTCCCGGCTACCCTCAAACCGGAATTCCCCGTCCCTCTGCTTCCATCCCGACTTCGCTCCACGCCCACCGCGCTCCCCACGGACAGACCGCCGCTCCCGCCCACGCGGTGACGTCATCGCGCGGCCGCCCGGCGCCCGGGCTCGCCGCCCACGGAGTGGGAGCCGGAAGCCGGACGGGGCGGGGGAGGGGCGCAGCTCCGCGGGGCGTCCGGGAACCTCGGCAGCCCGCGGGCTCGCGCACCTGGGGCGAGCAGGCGGGAGGCAGCGGGCATGCGCGAGGCTCCCGGGCGGCGCAGGCGCCCTGCCTCGGTCGTGAGCCGAGAACCGGTTTTCCAAGTTGGCGCTGGCTGTCCTGGCTGCTGGGGCACCGGGGGAGAAGGAGATGGGGAGGGAGCCCGACTCTTGGGAAGGGCGGGTTTGCCTCTGGGTTGGGGAGGAATCAGGTGCAGGGATCCTGCTTGCTGCACGTCTGTGCTGGGCGCGCCCCAAGAGTTTGGGATTTGCAGGAATATGAAATCAAACAACACGGGCAGACAGAGTGCCATGTGTTTATTTTGAGGCAAGAACACGGTTAGAGTACACGCCCAGAGCCGGGGCCAGGTCTCCCCCGGGGATGGCAACGCATCCGCGTGCCCGCTTCTGCGCGAGGGCTTTCCCTATTCTTTTATTCTCCCGCTGCCTCCTACAACCCTGTGGGTTGGGCATTATTGGGTCCCCAAGTTACAGGTGGGTAATGGAGGACCTATTGCACACAGGTCTCACAGCTCAGAACTTGTGGAGTTACTTCCCATTTCTACCAGGTTTGTCTGATTTCAAACCTCGGTGCTGCCCAGCAGATGTTTGAAGTCATCACTTGATAACAAAGAGACAGTAAAGCCGTTGTGTAAATAAGCCGCAAACCGTGAGGTCTGGACGTTTAAGTGGTATAAGCGGGGCTGTAGGAGTTGGGTAGGTGCCAAGAAAAGGGAGCTCAAGGTAGATTTTGGATGAGAGTTGGCAGGAGGAACAGAGAAAGGAAAGCTTTTGCGTGGCAAAGAAAGGGAAAGCCAAGGCTTGGAGGTGGGACAGGAAGCCTGAGGAGAAAGGTAAGAGCTGCCTCTATTTGAGCCGTGTGTTTGCGTTTGGCTTGCAAATAGAAGCATCTGTAATTCTAGGCATGGGCTTTTCTTCCAAAACAATGGACGTTCTCTTTTCTGTACACAGGCTTATGCTGTGAGGTAAAGTGACCCTGCACTGTCAGACAAGGTGTAGGCTGGCTACTCATTTAATAGCCAGAAACTTCTGTACGCGATTCCCTTGCTCCTTTGTGGTTTCACGAGTGAGAGGAACGAACATAACTCGAAATTCAGTACCCTCTGTGTCATCACCCTCCCTATCTTTAAAAGAAGAAGAAAATGCTGTACCATCTTAATTTAAAGAAGCTTGACCGGGTGATTTTTTAATTTGTTAGTGGCTTTGTACTGTAATTGCTATAATGCAGTTTGCGCTACTCAATTTAGCAACTGATGAACCACTATCTTGTCTTAGCCTCTAATTGTTTAATGGTTGTAAATATTATCTCCTCAGCAACACTGTAAGATTCTCCAGGCAGGGCTGTGCTGTCTGTCTCCTATCCCTGAATGCTGGACTTAATTGACTTTTTCAAATGTCTCTCATTCTCTCCTGAATCTTCACCACTCAGTACCTTGCACAGAACAGGCACCCAGTAAATATTTAATAAATGAAATAATGCCTCCTGGAGAGCAAGAACAAGCCTTTAAAACGCTTTTTTTTTTTCTCCTGGTCATCTAGGAGAATTATCTCTTTGTGGTGGGTACTCAGCAAATGTGTGACTTCATTGCTTTGCCTTTCAGCAGGGGAAATATAATCTCCCTGTTGCCCTGTAAAGAATTGCCGCCTGAACACGATGCCCCCAAGAAGTCTGCCAAGAAATAATTGTTTGATAGATTGGGTACCCTCAAAGACATTCTCGATTCTTTTCTGAAGTGTACATCTGCCCTTCCACAATAAATGATATTCTTGGTTATGTTGGCTGTACCGCCTAAGAAATATCTTTAGGAGAATGTGTAATTTGAGATCTTTTTGACTTCAGAAGGCAAGCAAACAAACCGATAAAAAACTAAAGCAACAACAAAACCCAGTAGTAAACGGGACTTCTATGCATGAGAACCCGTGAGAACCCTACTGCAAATTTTAAACGTTATGCCCCTGGGAGAGAGAATGCTCAGAGAGAGAATTTACAAGGCTTTAAATTTATAGTGACATTACATTCACTTCCTTTTGTATTTGAGGGGAAGTGGCCTGAAAAATGTGTAGGCAACTAATTTAGATAAGAAAGATTCCGCTTCTTTTTTTCTTCAAACCAATTAGGCTGGATCTGAGGAGGATCTACAATAGAAAGCAGATTTTGGGTGCACAAGAACTTTGGTTCATTCTAGGTAGGTGAAGCCAAGTCGAGTCTACACCATTGACCTCTGCCAGCCTGTTCAGCTAACTGCAAAGACTTCATGGGATGGGGCAGTGGCAGGGGTATGGAGGGAGTTCAGATCATGCCTGAACATAGTCAGAAACCGAAGCGCAAATTCTTTATTCAGCTACTGGTCAATCTGGGTCATCATCCATTTATTGGCTGTGGTCTGGGCCATCATCCATTTATTCTCTGTGGGACCTTGAGGGCAAGTGACTTAACATTTCTAGGCCTTGGTTTCCTCATTTGCGATGTGGGGATGATAACGGTAATTAGTGTACAAATCTATGTACTTAAAGAATACCTGGCACAAAAGGCATATAGCAAGCGCCTTGTTAAATGTTCGGGAAGTATGCTATGCTAACTTAAACTAGTACGGTTAGCCACTTATATGCCCTGCCTGAAATTATGGGAACTCTGTTGTTTTTGATTACCGAGTTTTCCCGACCGGTACAATTCTTATTGCTGACTTCCACAAGGATTTAACTTGCCCTAAAGATGTGGGATGTCGGTTCTCTTCTCCCAGCTTCCCAGGAGGGGCGGTGGGGGCGTGAACTGGGAAGGGGGACGTGTCCTACTTCCTCCCCGCCCCCTATCTTCGTGGCTGGCTAAAGCGTTAGAAACCGCCTCGCAACGCTCTGGTCTCGGAACGCCCCCAGGGGCGGGGCCGGGAGTGCGCACGCGCAGTGCAGCCGCGCCGCGCCTGCGCCCGGGAGGGGCTGAGGGAGGCGGGGGATTGGTATGCGAGCGAATGTGTGAGGGGAGGGAGGCGTCCCGGCGGAGCGAGGTACTACGACCAGCGCGGGCCGG